GCTGAGGGGACCCCCATCTCTTCCCAAGGGTGGTGTGCGAGGCAGAAAGCTTGCAGGGGTTCTTGGGTGGTGTCTTCAACACCTTAAGCACGGTAACCTTTATTGTAGATAAGGGTAAAAAAAAAATAAACGACCATAAAGCTATTTAGCACCGGAAGGTACCAGTTCTTTCACAGCTGTTTTTATTGCCTGCCCAGATATGCACCTGATTTGGCTCTTTCCCTGAGCATCAGGTGCAATAAATTTGGTAACTAAATAGGGCCATAAAGATCTTCAGAGGTTGGAGGATCTCCAGGAAGGGCTAAGAGAGATGGCGTCATTCAACCTGGGTAAGACAAAGCTCCAGGAAGATCTTGGAGCCCCTTCCAGTGCCTAAAGGGTCTACAGGTGAGCTGGAGAGGGACTTTGGATAAGGGCATGAATTGACAGGACAAGAGAATGGCTTCCAACTGACACAGGACAGGGTTAGATTGGATAATAGGAAGAAATCCTTCCCTGTGAGGGTGGTGAGGCCCTGGCACAGGTTGCCCTGAGAAGCTGTGCCTGCCTTGGAAGTGTTCAAGGCCAGGTTGGACAGGGCTTGGAGCAACCTGGGCTAGTGGAAGGAGTCCCTGCCCATGGCAGGGGATTGGAATGAGATGGTCTTTAAGGTCCCTTCCAACCCGAACCATTCTGTGACTTAGACTGCAGTTGGGGGTTCAGCTGTTTTGGGAGATGTTTTCTTCTTATTTTTGCTGCTAAGTGTCAGGTACCTGGTTCAACAGCTGTACCAAAGGTGTAGTTAAGGAGGAAAGCAAGGAAAAGTTTTGCTGGCATCTAGGAGTGGGAAAACAGGGCTTGAGAGGAAAAGGGAATACAGAAAAGAGACAATAAACATCACTTGGAGGACAGTGTCTGGAAGGGGCCTGCATATACCAGCCCTGCTGCCAGCCTGGGGGTGGGTGTTAGTGTTTTATTTTCAGCTGTTACATGGACAGCCAGATGCACAACCAACATTAAAATCCCATTAGGGTGAGCACATAATCAGGAGCTCAGCAGCAAAGTAATGACTGAGCAACCCTGGTGCACCTAAGGATCATTATTTCTTTCGCTTATTTTCATCCTTGCTTGACAAACACTAGACAAATCATATCTAAATGAAACTAAATACTTATATCAATGTAGTGGTAGCATCAGGTGATTTGTGTTAACTTTATCCTTCTCCATGGTGGAGCCTCTGCTCCCCAGTTTAGTTTGGGATATTAAAATGCTTTGAGAACCTTTTTTTGTAGATATGTACGGAAGTTGGGATTTAATAAAAATCTTCAATTATACTAATAAATAAACTAAAAAGAAGAAACCCTCCTTATGGCAGATATTTGGATTAAAGGTCCCATTCTCCTTTTGCAGCCTCATTCTCTGCAAATAAGGACTGGGGTACAAACAGTCACAGTGAAACACACTGTGTGGGATGGGGTTTTGGCCACCTCTTCCACACAGATCCTGCACACTGCAGGCAAATTGCATTAACAGGCTCTTCCTAGGTGCTTGTTTCAAAAAGCTTTGGATACAGGGATCCCCCGTGATCTGCTGTGCAGAAATGGTTAATGGGCAGCCACAGCTGAAGGCAGGAGGGGCCTGTTCTGAATGCAAATGTGACCCCTGAAAGGAAGGCAGCTCTGAGCATCCTGTAACCGAATACTTCCCGCTGAGGGCATTGCTTGACCAGCTTTTGTGCTTCTGTTCCCATATAAAATAGGGGATTATCGATTCTTTGAAAAACCTTGTTAGTGAAGAGTTGAGAGGCTTCCAGAAGGTCATAATAAGAAACGCAACCAAAAAGAAAAAGAAACAACCCACCCAGCCAAACAAACAAAAAACCAAAACAAAACAAAAAAATCCCCAAAGCTTACCCAAGTGCATTGGGAAACTCCTGCTGCCTGGTAAAGCCTGAGTCAGATATTCGTGCATTTTAAGTGCTTGAGAGTATAAATCATAGAATCCTAGAATGCTTTGGGTTGGAAGGCACCTTAAAGATCAGCTAGTTCCCACCTCTCTGCCATGACACGTACCACTAAACCTCTATAAGAATACAAAGAAATATTTGAGTTCACTTAGCTAAAAATCTAAACTAGTCATTCCTGTTATCAGCTCGTTGATCTTGTAATTCGATTAAAGTTTCCACGCTGTAAAAACCAAAATACATGTGGGCACATGTCCTTTGTACTGAGCTGATGGATCCATGGTAAGTGCTGCTTTAGTCACTGGAATTAGAAAAAAAATGTAGTTAGAGGGAGTGGGGGAAACATCTTAGCAAAAAAAAAGGGGGAGTTTTTTTCCCTCCCTCTTAACAAATACAGTTTGAAAACAGAAGGAACAGCTATGGAAAGTTTTAATTTCTGCTGATAAAATATCAATGCATCCTGTTTTACTCGAGCAGTGTGCAGTCCCCACAGCTACTTACAGAACAGTATGAATTTTTGCTGTTCACTGACTGCATTTTTCTGCTCAGCTCTGTGGGCAGTAGGTCACATCATCTACCTTGTCATGACATTTTTGGAGTAGCAGGGGGCTCAGCTTTTAACTTCTCTGCAGGAAGTGAATTTTCAATAGTTCCTTATATGCTTTTTAATTTAAAGATTGTACTGTTAAAGATCCAGTGTTTCACAATGAAATGTTTTTCCTTAATAAGACAATGATTTTTTTTCAACTCGATTCCTAAATTAACTTCTGCATTATTACTGTATTTATTCTTAAACTAACACATGCCTCCTTTTCTCACTTTAACACGTGGATGTCAAACCAAGCCAGTCACAAGCTGGTCATTTAAGCCTTAGTGTTCCTGAGATGGAGCATAACTGTCACACACAACAGCCTGTGCTCAGCCATCCCTGTTAGCAAATGTGATGGTGGGAAAGCAAATTTGTCTTGCATGGTAGTTCTGAGGTCCCTCTTTGTGGAATCCTGCTGAAGCAGGAAGGATAACCCATCCCTCTATCCTTAGAGAGTGGCAGAAAAGAAGGTCAGTGGGGATCTCTGGTGTCCCCAGGAGTCCTGGCAATGCAGTTCTGTCCTTGTGGTCAACTGCCAGTGCTGCCAGCACGGCTGCACCCAGGTAGCTGAGGCACCTTGACTGCTTGAACATCCCCAGAAAAGAGGTTCTGAACTCAGTGTGAGGCCCCAGGCTGGCAGTGGGTCCCAGTGCTGTGGCCCAAGGGAGTTTGAGTGGAGATCTGGGCATTTTAAATCTGAGAGTCATAGAATCACAGAATGGTTTGCGTTGGAAGGAAGCTTAAAGACCATCTTGTTCCAACCCTCCTGCCATGGGCAGGGACACCTTCCACTATCTCAGGTTGCTTCAAGCCCCGTCCAACCTGGCCTTGAGCACTTCCAGGGACGGGGCAGCCCCAGCTTCCCCGGGCAACCTGTGCCTCACCACCCTCACAGGGAAGGATTTCTTCCTATTACCCAATCTTACACTGCCTTCTGTCAGCTTGAAGCCGTTCCCTCTTGTTCTGTCACTCCATGCCCTTGTCCAAGGTCCCTCTCCAGCTCTGGTATAATGCAGGTGTAACCTGGATCAGTCTTCTTGGAAAACAGCAAAGCTGTGACAAAGGGGCCATGGGAAACCCTGTCTGGGAGCTGCAGTCAGGCTCAGGCTCTCACCCCTAGTCCCTGCATTCTTTTGCAATGGGATATCACTAGTCATGAAATCACATCATAAAATCACAGAATGGCTTCTCTTGGAAGAGCCCTTACAGATCTCGTAGTTCCAACCCCCACTAGATCACTAATCCTCTTTAGCCCACAAGAAAATGAGTCAGGGCGGGTGGGAGCCTGCCCAGCTTCACTTTCAGTGCTGGGTCTCACCCCACCCTTTGATCAGTGGCTCGTTCATCACCACCTATTGATTCTTTGGCAAGTGACTAATAGCAAGTGTCCCAAACAGATCTGAATGCCTTTTGGAGCAAATCTGCTTGATAAATAGAAGCCATTTTGTTCTTATTTGCGGTAGATTAAATGTGCTAAAGCTAATTGTGCCACACCCCCCCTCCCCTGGCAGGCAGAGAAAAGCGTGTTCCCCCGTGTTTCTGTGAGCAGCACTGTCGTTGTGCAATCACCCCTGTGAGTGTGAGCACACCTGGCCTTGCAGCAAATGAGGCAGGAAAAGGCATGACTGGAAAACTGGCTCCCAGGTCTCCTCGGTGTGGAGATGTGGAAAACACCCCTAGGTGAAATTTTCAGCTGCCTGGGGGGTCATGGGAGAGGAGTGCACAGTGCCCCTGTGCTTGGCGCTGGAGAGGCTGCACCTTGAATCCTGTGTCCAGTTTTGGGCCACTCACAACAAGAAGGACATTGAGGGGCTGGAGCATGTCCAGAGAAGGGCAGTGGAGCTGGGGAAGGGTCTGGAGCACAAGTCTGCTAAGGAGCAGCTGAGGGAGCTGTGAGGGCTCAGCCTGGAGGAAAGGAGGCTCAGGGGGGGCCCTCATTGCTCTCTACAACTCCCTGAAAAAAGGGTGTAGCCGGGTGGGGGTTGGTCTCTTCTCCCAAGTGACAAGAGGAAACGGACTGAGGTTGTGCCAGGGAATGTTCAAATTGGATATTAGGGAAAAATTCTTCACAAAAAGGGTTTTCAAGTATTGGTGCAGGTGCTCAGGAAAGTGGTGGTGTAACCATCCCTGGAAGTGTTCAAAAAGTGTGTGGGTGTGGCGTGTGGGGACCTGGTTTAGTGGTGGAATTGGCAGTGTTAGCAGAATGGTTAGGCTCTTGGTTGAGCTTGGAGGTCTTTTCCAACCCATGATTTTAAGGACTTTAATGCTCAGCTTAAGGTTTGGACCATGCAAGAACATTTCAGAGCAAAGGAACAATTGGAATCTCCTCTTAGGGGCTGGTCTAAGGTCCCTTCCAGAGACCTGGGGACAGCAGCAGCCCTTGTGACAAGGCTGGGCTGTAAGGCAGTGAGGCTGATTGCTTTCCCCTCTGCCTCTTCATGCCAGGTTGGACTCTGATTCCTGGTGAAGCAGCACTTGTTTAAACTCTAATAATCTATAATGCAGGGTTGGGCCCCACAGCAAAGTCAACATTATAAAGTTACAACTCCAAAACAATTAGATGGCTACATAAATGTAGTGACACAGCAAAACCAGGAGACTTCAAAGGTTAATTGTTTGGTTTCTGGTGCCATCTGGTTCTGAGGCACTATGGAGCTTTCAAACAGGCTGTGGGTGATGGCCTCATCCTCTGCCTAGAAGAAGAAAACCATAGAAAGTCTGTTTGGAGGAGCTGAGCTCTGGTGCAAATGACATCTGTTGTCGAGTAAAGTTGAGGTCTGTGGTCATTAAAAGGAAAGACTGAAATGACCTACAGGAGCCTGAATGCCAGTCCAGCCATCTGGGGGTTCCTCAGTGAGAGATCAGTCTGAGACAGAAGCTGAAAATCCCAGAGCTTTGTACTGCTGGTAAGTGGTAGGAATTCACAAGGCAAAAGGATTCTCTCAACCCAATGCAGAAAATTTGAGGTCTCATTAACCTCAGGAAAGAAAACAGGGGGAAAAGTGAGTTGTATGGAACTGAAGGAGAGGCTGAGGAAGGGAGCAGAGAGGAGATGTGTGACCAGCTCACCATACAAGCTGTCGAGGCACAGGAGGGAAGGAGCTGGTTGCTGCTGTCGTGTTCCCTCAGAGGAGTGTTTTACCCAGAAGCTGGATAGCACAGCACTGGATGGCCATCGATGCCAAAGCATCTGCTGGTGCAGACAGGACTGTGGGACCGCAAAAAGGGACATTGCCATGAAAGAAAAGCAGTACAACAGAGAAGGGTCAAACCCCAGTCTTGGTGGCCGTGAGGTTGTCCAAGTGACTGAAAGGTGTGTGAGTGCTTAATGTGCTGATATTGTACCTGTATGCAAAGTCTTATGAATAACAGGGGAGCAAATAAGCCAATACATTAGCAGGGATCATTTTCCACAAGTTCCTGGAGGGGAAATATTGGTTACCACCTGCCAGCAGAGATTATTTCTCATTTGCCATGACAAAAAGCACGGTGTGTTGGTGTGCATTTCTGTCACGTGCACTGGGCTTTATCACCAGGACCAAGCAAACAAAATGGTAAGTTTTGCTCCCTGTGTGAGGGGAAATGAACATCTGCTGGCAAAGCTTGCTATGGGAGGAGAAGGCTGGGGCTGCCACCAACCTGCCTGTTCCAGGGTACAGAGGGAATTTACAAAGCCCCATAGAGCTGGAGAGAGATGTCCACGCCAGATCCGACTGGCAATGCAGGAATATCAAAGGGGTTTGCTATCCCATGCTGAAATGCTGTCATGGGATGTGCAAAATGCAATTTTCTCTCAAACAGGTCCATGGTGATGTTGTTTTAGCACCACCACAGCATAAACTGCCAATTTATGTGGTAACAGCCCAGCAAAAACAAATCAGAGATTTGTTGTGATTTGTGGCATGTATCTACTTGCAAAAAAAGTCCTTAACACACTGCTATTTGGCAAATCAGAGAAACAATTGTAGAATGGTTTGTGTTAGAAGGGACCTTACAGCTCATCTCATTCCACCCCCCTGCCATGGGCGGGGACACCTTCCACTATCCCAGGTTGCTCCAAGCCCCGTCCAATCTGGCCTTGAACACTTCCAGGGATGGGGCAGCTACAACCTCACTGGGCAACCTGTGCCAGGGCCTCACCATCCTCGCAGGGAAGAATTTCTTCCTCATACCCAATCTAACCCTTCCCTCTGTTACTTCGAAGCTGTTCCCTCTTGTCCTGTCAATTCATGCCCTTGTCCAAAGTCCCTCTCCAGCTCTCTTGGAGCCCCCTTAGGTACTGGAAGGTCCTCTATAGTCTTCCTAGAGGCTCCTCTTCTTCACACTCAACAGCCCCAACTCTTCCAGCATGTATCCATAGCAGAGCTGCTCCAGCCCTTGCATCAAGTGATTTTTGCCTTTAGGTAACTAGGACAGGCTCCCAGCCAGGATCTGTGTCCTGGAGCAAAAAGACCTGGAGATGATGCTCCTCCTGGAGAGGAGCCGAGGATTGGTGCAAGCCCTGAGGGACTGGGGTGTGTCTGTGAAATATGCTGTCAGGAAACCTTAGAGAGCTGAGAAAACAACACTGGAGCAGAGGAAGAAGCAACATGGGAGAGCTTTGTGTCCGCTCTGTGCTGGTGACTGGGGCCAACAGGGGCATCGGCCTGGGGCTCATCCAGCATCTGCTGGGGTTGCCAAAACCTCCCCAGTGGGTGTTTGCAACCTGTCGGGACCCCAAGGGACAGCGAGCACAGGTGAGGCCGGGCTGGGAGGCAGTGGCTGTGCTGGGGGACGGGAGTGCTCAGTGTCAGGGTGGAGGTTGGAGCTGGGAGGGGGTTTGAAAAGGGTTAGAGCCACGTTGGGGCACCTGCAGCACAGGGCAACTGGGCAGGGGTGTCCATGGGAGCAACTGTGCATGGGATGTGTGGAGGGCACGGAGGTACGTGGTGTGTGAGGGAGACACGGAGCACTCCCCATCCATTGGGACTGGGGCAGTTGGAGCAGGGTGCTGGGCACAGGCTTAGACTGGCTTTGCTGGGAGAGCCTTTGCAGAGCTGTTCCAGCCTGTCAGTGCCAATGTTGTGACCTCTCTTGCAGGAATTACAGAATTTGGCCTCCAAACATCGCAACCTGGTCATCATCCCTCTCGGTAGGTTCCCTCTTGTCCCAGTTCCTCTGGCAAATGCCTGGGCACTCATCACAGCTCTGGGAACCCCACATGGGAGGGAGCTGTGGGGGGCACATTCCTGGGGGGACACAGGGGGCTCCAAGTCACCACAGGGACACTGACCTTCCCTATGTTGGCTCTGCAGAAGTTGCCAACCCTGCCAGCATCAAGGCAGCTGCAGCCAAAGTTGGGGAGCACCTAGGGGGCTCTGGGCTGAACCTTCTAATCAACAATGCTGGAATTGTCAAGATAACCTTGCTTGAAAATGAGACACTGGAAGACATGACCGAGACTTACACCACTAACACAGTTGGGCCTCTGCTGATGGGCCAGGTGAGACCCTCACCCAAGCTGGGCTGTCCTGGGGGAGCGTGAAGGGCTGGTGGGAGGGGGTCCTGCTTCCACTCTGGAGCCTGATGGGCTCTCAGTTGATGAGAAGCTTGTGGAGCCATGGGCTGGAGCTCAGGAGCTGGAGCCTGGCAGGCTGGGGCAGTGGGGAGAGAAGGGACAATGTTCTGATGCTGGTGCCAGTGCTGCCCACTGTGGAAGGAGCGGGTCCTCTCCCCTGGGCCACATCCATGTCTCCCCTGTCTCCTCTTCCTCCTCGCAGGCGTTCCTGCCCTTGCTGAAGAAGGCTGCCCAGGGGAGCCCAGGCTCAGGGCTGAGCTGCAGCAAGGCAGCCATTGTCAACATGTCCAGCATTGCTGGCTCCATCAGTTCTCTTTATGCTTGGGAGGAGATGCAAGTTACCTCGTACCGCTGCAGCAAGGTACTGTCACATCGTGCTGGGGACAGATTTGCTTTCCCTGCGCTGCCACAGCCGCAGGTCCCCTTGCAGCCCCCCCGCCCCTCCCACCACCATCCCTGCCCTGTCTCCCCACAGGCTGCTCTGAACATGCTGAACAAGTGTCAGTCCCTGGCATACAAGGAGCACGGGGTCCTCTGTCTCGCTCTCCACCCTGGCTGGGTGCAAACTGACCTGGGCAGCTCTGCTGGACACACGGTAGGAATTCCATGGCTCCATCAGAGCCCTGTGTTGATTTCCCACAGGTGGAAATTACTGCCCTGATCCCCTGCCCTTAACTTCCCTTCCTGCCCAATCCCTGCCAAGGCAGGTCCCCCTGTCCTGGTCCCTGGTGCTGGGTTTCCTTCTCAGACCCCCTGTCCAGGGTGTCCCAGGTTTTCAGCTTTGCCCTTGCACTGGAGCAGCTCCTTCCCCCAGCCTTGGCTGCTCCCTGGCCTCGGGCACAGGCTGCCTCTCCCCCTTTGCCCCACAGCCCCCCGTGACAGTGGATGCCAGCGTGAAAGGGATGCTGAAGGTGCTCTCCTCCATCTCTGAGAAGGACACTGGCACCTTCCTGGACTGGGAAGGGAAGGTCGTGCCCTGGTGAAATGCCAGTTCAGGATCCTGGCAGCCGTGGGGACCTTTGTCACTGCTCCCACCTGCCCCTCATCCTCAATAAAG